AGGTGCCCAGGGCTTGGTATTTGAGCTTTCCCGAGTCCCAAGTGGGAAGAGTCCCAAAATCTCCAGCTAGCCGGGAACAGAGCCTACACGCGATCCGGGCGGAGGGGTCTAGCCCAGAGAGGTCACTTTCCCTTTATTGTCCCGCCCCTCACCCCAGCGGCTGGACTAACATTGGGTAAAATTGCAAACCGACTCAGCCTCAGGGCGGTGGATTAAGCCCCGCGCCCTTGCGGTAGCACCCTCGAGCGTTTTCCAAAGCTCCCTGCTGCTGGACTTTGCCTGTTGGGGGAGTTTTTCTGAACCGTCCAGCAGCCGGGAGTCCAACCTTGGTGCAACGGCTGCTGCGCACCCCCGCCCCCCGCCCTTCCACGTGACTCGCACCGGCCAGTCAGCGCCGGGCGAGCAGGGACCGGAGGGGCAAAGGCAGCTCGGCCGCGAGCCGGGGGGAGTCGGAGGCTCCGGGCGCAGGGGCCGCGACTTGCTCCGCGCCGCCACTCGGGCCGCGTCTGCAGTGCGAGCTCCCCGCGCGCCCAGGGCCGCGCGCGCCTGGCTCCCCGGACTCGCCCGGGGACCGGTCTTCCAGGAAACTCCCGTCTCGGGCAGGTACGGCTTTTTCTCTCCTTTCACCCTTCTCTTTGCTGCCGGTCCCAGAAAGCCAGGCGCTGCTTGTGTCTGCGAGTAGATAGCTGCCTAGTAGGTGAAAAGGAGACCTTGATCACCTCCTCCATCAAAATGGACCGAAGCGTGCTCGGCTTCTGGTTTGAGATGAGTTGTTTCTTTACATTAAAACAAAGCTTGGCATGGCAAGAGGAGAGGAACATTCGAAATGTGTTGATATGCTTTTTGCGTGAAAAGGGTTTCCATTCTCCGGCGCGAAGCCTCCAGCCCCTGGTTCGAACGCGGTTGGAAGTCGCGGTGGTGACGGTGACTGTGTGGAATCATCCTGACCGACTGGTCGCGGACAGGCCTCGCTCGGCTCTCACACGAAGCGGCACACACGGATGGGTGTCGCCCACCGGCGACTCCGGGGACGCCGAGTGGCGGCAGGAGGCAGCGCACTTGGGCCTCAGGCTCGAGGTCTGGAACTAACCTAAATCGCAGGGCCTTCTCTGTCTTTTCCAGACACTTTGCCCACCTTCTTGACTTCAGTCCAGACAATTCAACCCACGCGGGTACCAGGAAGAGTGATGTCCCTTCACTGGTCATGGATAAGTCCCTGAATCAATGATATTAGGTTGTTTGGCTTTGGGTTGGAGATTTCACCAAGGTATGCGCGGACACCCTGGTGGTGAATTGTAACCAGGTTTGAGGAATGGGAGTCTTTTCGGTTTGAGAAGAGGGTGGTGAGTAACCCGCTTTTTGACACTGCACTGCCAGTAGCGGCCGCAAACGTCGAGGAAAATGACTTCAAAGTATTTCTTGGAAACCAGTCTAGAGCAAGTTCTAGGATTTTAAATAAAATGAGTTATCGTTAGGTGATGACGAGATGTTCCGTACCCTTTAGCGTCTACACACTCCTGGCCAAAGGCAGGAGCAGCAATAGCTTGCTGGTGTGTGAGCAGGGATTACCTTTGAATGGTAAATGGCATTGAATGTCAGAGCGCTTATAATCCTCCCATTCTCAGAAGTAAATCAGACAAAAGCTGTGCAAGAAAGAAAGCAAGAAAGCTGCTTTCTTGTCATCTGGCAAATTTGGGTGACTTTCTTGTCATCTGGCAAATTTGGGTGAATTGGGTTGCAAAACTGGGATGCTGGTCTGGGCCCCTACCTGGAGGCCCAGCCTCACCTGTCAGTCTCTAAAGGGCTTCCTCGGCTAACTCACAGATGCTTGGACTTTTGAAACACTTTACTTTTAGAAAAAGAGTCATTTTGATAGGTTAGTTAATTTCTTGTCTTTCCAACAATGCATGGAAGCATATTTTCCTCCACCTTTTATTGTAGCAGTAATGCATTTCTGAAGTAATGTACCAGCCATTTAAATAGGCAGAGACCAATAAAGATGAGTGTTAAATTTGGGAGGAGGGGGAGGCTGGGAGGACAGTGCAACAGTGAATGACTGGAAGCCCTAAGTCTCTGTAAACTTTCATTTAAATAAAAAAAATTAAAAAGGAAAAAAATATTAAAAAGTTATTCACAAAAAAAGACATGTTAGGTTTATATTGGTTTTAGCATTTATATATTAAAGCTCGGAAGTTAGCATCTAGATCTGTTGTGTAAACTGAATTACTGAATTATAAATCCTTTCCTGCAGTTATAGGAGATAAGTAAATTTAGGACATGATCTTTTAGAACTGCAGAAGTTGAATTGTACTGCAGAAGTTTAGAATTACTTAAAAATTAAATATTGGATCTTTTATTAAGATACACCTATATATTTACTTATTGAGGCCTACAAATTCCTTTTTTGCCTTCATTTTCAAAGAAGTAGGTACCCTCTAACCAAACTTGTTTTAAGAAAATGACCATCAAACCAATAATTTATTGTCTATTTTTGAGAGCAAATAACAAACCATTTAAGAATTAAAGTATGACTATGTGAATACAATGTTATTAATTTCATTATTGGTGATATTGTAAAATGGGGGGGGGAAATAACCAATCCAAGACATAGTTACATAGTATGTACTGGAGATTCTAGTTCCAGAATTTTACAATAAAGGTTTTTGTTCTTTATAGTACCTAATACATCTGAGACACATTCTCATGATGCATTAAAAACTTGTAATAAAAATAATAATAATCAACAGTTATGAAGGACTTTCTTTGTGATAGACTCACCATAAAGGCAAACAAGGCAAGGAGAAAATAAAGTCGTGTTTTACACATAATAATTTATAATCCTCTCTCAATTTTTCCAATAACTCTACAAAAGAGGTATATTTAGCAGATGCATTTTACAGATGAGGAAATTCAAGTTAAAGAATTTTCCTTATATTAAGTACATGGCAGAGTCTGGATTTAATAACATCTTGATAAATTGATTTACTGTTGCAATGGGAAGAAGATAAAACCAAACAGCAGCCAGTGCTGTTCAGAGCAACCCCCTCTACACATGGAGAACAACCCAAGTGTCGGTGGTGTAGCGGACAACTTCAAATTATGGAAGACCTGCTTCCAGTTCCGTTCTGTGAAATGAGAAGAGACACTGTTGTTAGTGGAGCTGTAGAGAAAAGTGCTGAGCAAAGCAGGTGCCCTCAAAAAGACTTGGAGCTCTTGTTTTTATCAGAGAAATTCCGTGGTAAAATAAAAACACAGGATTCTAGGAAACATGTCATCAAGTAGTCTCATTTGTTTTCTGATCGCGTGCGTTGATTGGACCAAAGATTATGTATTTTCTAAATACATCAATCAATTTGGATAGCAGAGTGAATGAAATTTTTTCAGAGCTGTATTTGCAAGAAACCTATCACTGGTCTGGTTTGGCATCCACATGATACAAGGCATTTCCCTCTTTGTCACATGGTTTGAAGATATTGTGGTTCATTTATAAATATTTAGACTGAAAAGCTAGGGTTTTTTAAAAAAAATATTGCAAGTCAATGTATTATATTTTCATAAGACCTGCTGGGCTGTCGCCAGGGCAATGTAAAGATATTTCTTGAACAGTGATACTCGGAGAGGGGGAAATCAGACACAAGGAAGATTCGTATCGCAGGCACTCTGTGGATACATTTGAACTTAGAAAATAATGTGTCAAAAATATATACTTGAAGATGGTAAAATTAAAGTTCCACCTAACAAAAAAGAACAATAATAAAAGTCTGATGAAGGTTACAACTCCCAATGCTCGGTATACCCGCAAGCCTACACCCCCAGGACACGGGCTGTGAGGTTTCCTTGGTGCGGCCCAACGCCCTGGCCTCGCCAAAACAAAGGCCCAGCTTCGCACCGCCCAGCGCGGCCTCTCACACCGGGCCTGGAGAGGGATTTTTATTTCGTTTCGTTTGCAGCTCAGGGGAAGCAACCAAGCAAGGGCAAAGCAAACTCTGGAAACTCTATATGAACTTGTGTCTCCATTTTTGTCGTTCTTCCTGTAGGTCCCGCTATAAGAGCCCCGGGACATCGGGAATCTGGGAATCTGTTGGCGGGACAAGGCGCCAGCCCGCGGGCTCCCTGCAGGCCGTGCACAACTTGCCACTGGGGTGTGAGTATTGACCCGGAGGCCTGCGCCCCTCTCCCAGGCCAGGCATCAACCCAACTGCTGCCAGATAGGACACGTGGCTTCTTCTGCAGACCCCAGGAGACCTCCAGCGCCTAAGGTGTGTTGGTCCCCTTCTGGCCTCACCTCCCGGAGACAAGCACCAATTTCACTGTGGGATTTTTCCTGAGCAATCAAGAACCCCAGAGTCATTTGCTCCAGACTGGGATTGAAGCCTTGTTGGTGCGCTACGTCCATTTGATCTCTACCTCAGAATTTTGGGCTTTGCTTTCTCTGCAACCCCGCAACTGCATCTTGTTGTTTTCGGTCCCCGTGCACGGAACCTCTGCAGCGGCTGGCGGGACAGAGCGAGGAGCGGAAAGCGGAGCGCCGAGGAGCGATGTACCAGAGCCTGGCCATGGCCGCCAACCACGGCCCGCCGCCCGGCGCCTACGAAGCGGGCGGCCCGGGCGCCTTCATGCACGGCGCGGGCGCCGCCTCGCCGCCGGTGTACGTCCCCACGCCGCGGGTGCCCTCGTCCGTGCTCGGCCTGTCCTACC